CTAGCGACAAAAATCTGCGGGGAGCTATGCAAAAAACGCATCTTCGCACGGGCAGCCTGTGCGTTGACCAATTATTCTCATTTTTGTTTTCTTTTTCTTTCAACTTGTTTCACTAGAACCGTTTTACTGACGAAGTCCAGTCGTGGTACAGAAAAAGAATGTATCTGATTCGATGGACCTAAACATTCCCGCTCAGATTTCTTCCTTACACAGTTAATCTAACCTTAATTTTTTTTCTTCCACTAACTTCAATTACCACAATCGTCATACTGACAAGACCCAATTTAAGGGTGACGGGGGGGAGGGGGGGAGGCGAACCAGGCGTTAATTTTGTGGCGTTAAATTTGCATCTCATGGCTTTAAATTTGCGGTAAAATGCGGCGGAAGTGAAACTAACCATTGCTTTCGTGCTGATGCATAACACGTATCGGTTCTGGCTTATTTTCCACATACACCGCAATTGAGCCATCTTTACGGCCAGCAAAAATTAGCGGTCCTTTTTTCGGGCAACAGTAAAATGCAACTGCGTTTACGGCTAACTTGTCATCTTTGCCCACACATCGATCCGTCACAAATGTATTATCACTGCTGAAACCATTGCTGACATTGAATAAGGCCAAAAATGTCAGGAACCCCGCCCCTTTCTTCCTACCCCTGCCTTCTTCCTACGGCTCCGAGGGAACATTCTCTTAAAATTAAAGCCTTCCAGCTTTTTTCGTTCTGGAGTTAGTAGTTTTCCCATCGAAATTTTCACTTGTCCGTATGTGAGTACTGGACGGTTCTAAGGAGCTGAATTTGAAATCTTTTGGTCGTACATGAATCCCCCTGTTTTTCACACAGTGTGAGAGGCAAAAGCATTCGGAAGTAGCCCTAGTGCTAGCCTGTATCGGTCAACAGCAACCATACAGTGGCAAAATTTTTAGCGGCTATCTCTTTTGAAGTTCGACTAGAATCAGCCTGAAAATGGCTTAGCAATGCCCAGCATTTGGGGACACATTTAGGGCTAAAGAGAAAATATCAAAAAAAAAGATAAATAGCAACGCGCACCAGACTAGCCGGTGCGATCATGCATTTTGTGCAATTCAGCCCATCAAA